TCGAGGAAACTCAGTTGTTCAATATCTTTCGTTTTTTCTTTTTTCTTAACTTTTTTATTAAGCTTTTATTTTTAAGCAACCTCTACCCCGATGTGGGGCTCGAACCCGCAAACCCAAGACCAGGCGTTGCACGCTCCAGCCACGGAGCCGGCCGGGCGCCCCTCGCTTTCATCCGAATCGAGTCTGATCGAGTCCTCACAGCCAGTCGTCAAGGTAACCACGAGGCTGGTGAGCACAGACACGAATGTGCCAGAAGCACCTGCCCCATGAGTCACGGGACGGAAACCCGTTCACCCCTCGGTACGTCCCGGCTTCCGTGTCCGCCCACCACCCACTTCACCCCTCGACACGCAGAGTCTCCGACCCCGGGCACAGGTATACTCGGCGCACCCGGGCCTCTGAGCAGCGCTGGGATAGGGGTTGGAGGGGAGTGAGCTCAGCTCGAGCTCTGATGCTTGCCTTAAAAGAAATAAGGGGCGCCTGGGGGGCTCAGCGGGTGAGAGCTGCTTGGGCCCAGGGCACGACCCCGGGTCCCGGATCGAGTCCCACATCAGGCTCCCCGCATGGAGCCTGCTTCTCCCTCTGCCTGTGTCTCTGCCTCTCTCTGGGTCTCTCATGAATAAATAAAATCTTAAAAAAAAAAAAAAAAAGCCTCCTGCCTGCGGGGATCCTGTGGGCGACCAGCTCCCCCTGGTGCTTGAATATTTTTCCATCTGGAAATCCCCGTGGAGGCGGATCCCACAGGGAAATGACGCCTGTGCGACAAGTTTCAATACAAGATCGTTCCCTGAAAGACCACGGATGACTGCGAGAAATTGGAAATTACCCAACAACACCCCATTACACTTTGTGACATCCGCTCAGCGCGTCGTACGTACGTGTTAAGACACAATGTTTTATTTATTTTTTTTTTATAAATTAATTTTTATTGGTGTTCAATTTACCAACATACAGAATAACACCCAGTGCTCATCCCGTCAAGTGTCCCCCTCCGTGCCCGTCACCCATTCACCCCCACCCCCCGCCCTCCTCCCCTTCCACCACCCCTAGTTCGTTTCCCAGAGTTAGGAGTCTTTATGTTCTGTGTCCCTTTCTGATATCTCCCACACATTTCTTCTCCCTTCCCTTATATTCCCCTTCACTATTATTCATATTCCCCAAATGAGTGAGAACATACACTGTTTGTCCTTCTCCGATTGACTTACTTCACTCAGCATAATACCCTCCAGTTCCATCCACGTTGAAGCAAATGGTGGGTATTTGTTGTTTCTAATGGCTGAGTAATATTCCATTGTATACATAAACCACATCTTCTTTATCCATTCATCTTTCGATGGACACCGAGGCTCCTTCCACAGTTTGGCTATTGTGGACTTGGCTGCTAGAAACATCGGGATGCAGGTGCCCCGGCGTTTCATTGCATCTGAATCTTCGGGGTAAATCCCTAACAGTGCAATTGCTGGGTCGTAGGGCAGGTCTATTTTTAATTCTTTGAGGAACCTCCACACAGTTTTCCAGAGTGGCTGCACCAGTTCACATTCCCACCAACAGTGTAAGAGGGTTCCCTTTTCTCCACATCCTCTCCAACATTTGTGGTTTCCTGCCTTGTTAATTTTCCCCATTCTCACTGGTGTGAGGTGGTATCTCATCGTGGTTTTGATTTATATTTCCCTGATGGCCAGTGATGCAGAGCATTTTCTCATGTGCATGTTGGCCATGTCTATGTCTTCCTCTGTGAGATTTCTCTTCATGTCTTTTGCCCATTTCATGATTGGATTGTTTGTTTCTTTGGTGTTGAGTTTAATAAGTTCTTTATAGATTTTGGAAACTAGCCCTTTATCTGATATGTTATTTGCAAATATCTTCTCCCATTCTGTAGGTAGACACAATGTTTTAAAGAATGTTTTGACACGACATTAATTATATAACAGAAAATGCGTTTGATGTGGCACGATCTTAAAAATAGATCACGAGTGTCGTGAGAGGAGGTGCACGAGGCTGAAAACAATGATGTCCTTTGTGTTTCACATTTATGTATTTTTTTACAGATTTTATTTATTTGTTCATGAGAGACAGAGAGAGAGAGACGCAGAGACACAGGCAGAGGGAGAAGCAGGCTCCATGCAAGGAGCCTGACACGGGACTCGATCCCGGGACCCCGGGGTCACGCCCTGAGCCAAAGGCAGCCGCTCAACTGCTGAGCCCCCCGGGGCGTCCCATCCTGAAGTATTTTAAATCCACTACCGACTGGCGCTGGGTTTTCTCTCCATGTGCTTCCACGTGCAATTGTAAAAATGACATTTCCAAAAAAATAAAAAGGACATTTCCGGGCACCGGGTGGGCTGAGTGTTGAGCATCCGACTGGGTCAGGTCGTGACTTCGAGGCCTGGACGAGCCCCGCGTGGAGCCGCCCCAGGCTCCCCTCCCGGCTCGGGTCCTCGGGCCCCTCTCCCTCTGCCCTGCCCCCAACTCATGCACTCCCTCAAATAAATAAAATCTTTCACAAAATAAAAATAAATCTTGAGAACCTGAAAAGGCCTTTCTGAGGCGTGCGCGGCGCCATTCTGACGCCCCACAACATGACCGCAGAGCCCTTTGCCTTCTGCGTACCCAGGTGCATTCACATTTGCAGGAGTGATTTTCCCTTTTTTCTTATGTCTTCTAACTTTTTTTTTTGTCTTCTAACTTTTTATGATGAATGTAACCTCTATTATTTAAAAGCAACAATTTCACAAAATGAAAAACTCTTTGATTTATACATTTCCGCCCCACCCCCACCCCCAGGAACGTACTGGTTACATTAAGCGATTAAATATTAAATCTGGGGACCCCCGGGGGGCTCAGCGGTTGAGCGCCCGCCTTCAGCCCAGGGCGTGACCCCCCGGGTCCTGGGATCGAGTCTCGCGTCGGGCTCCCTGCATGGAGCCTGCTTCTCCCTCTGCCTGGGTCTCTGCCTCTCTCTCTGTCTCTCATGAATAAATACATAAAATCTTTAAAAAAGAAAAAAAAAAAAAACTAGGGAAAAATCTACATGAAACCGTGGTTTGCAGACAGTAGCCAGGGGCAGGGGTGATGCTCTCGGAGACCTGGAGCAGATGAAGCGGGGGGCACAGTTCTCCTCCCACGGGGCAGGAAGGGAACCCCAAACCAGCTCCCCACACAAGGCTTTCAGTGCCACGTGTCCTGTCCCTGTTGCGCAGGGGCCCGGCCAACAGACCCTCTCAGCCTTCCTTCGGGACGCCCCGTTTCGGCTCGCGCCCCGTCTGCGGCCCGACCCAGAGGTTGCCGCGGCCCCGTTCGCGGACCAGGCTTTTCTTTCCCCTCGTGCTGCTTCCTGTCGGGAAGCATCTGGTCAGTCCGGGCACACATGAGCTCCTTCCGTGCAACGGCCTGTGCTCGAGGCCCGTCCCCCACTGTCCTTCCACCACGTCGGCCCCCGGGACCTGGCCGTGGGCCCCTGCCTGCCACCAGTCGGCCACCCCTAACGCCCTCTGTGGCGTGGAGCTCTCAGTTTAGGGCCACATGGAGGAGCGGGGAGGCTGGGAGGGGCCGCTGTGACGCCCTGGGGCCAAGGACAAGAAGCCAGATAGACTCCAGTCCCTTGAGGGATCCCCCCCCCCCCCCGGCCCCGACCACATTAAGAATATTCCCAGAAAAGGGACAGTAAGGAAACGTCCCAGGGCCCAGGCTTGCTTAACTCGGTTAGGGGCCTTCCTTCCTGGACGCTCCTGCAGCTTCCAGCTTTGCCACGTGAACACGTTTAATAATATTTTTGAGCTTTACACTTTTCTGTAATGTATACTTCTGTGGTCTGAACCCGTCACTAGGATTCTGGATACTTAAATATCTTCACAATTTAATTATCTTTATTTTTTTAATATTTTATTTATTTATCCATGAGACACACAGAGAGCGAGGCAGAGAGACAGGCAGAGGGAGAGGTAGGCTCCGTGCAGGGAGCTTGAGGCAGGACTCGATCCCGGGACCCTGGGTCACACCCTGGGCCGAAGGCAGGTGTTCAGCCACTGAGCCCCCCGGGCTGCCCCCCAAATTTAATATCTTTAAAAGGACTTCAAGGGGATGGTCCCAGTATTTGCATTTGGAGCAAAGGAGGTAAAATTGAGGAGGAAACAAAAAGATGTCAGTACATACATATTTTTTAAATGAGAAAATGAAATCTCAGTAGGAAACTGCAGCGGACCTGGGCCCCTTGAGGTGAGCCCCTGGCTGTGCGGTCCATCCTCTTCTTGGGGGCTGGGGTGTCTCCTGGCTCAGGGCAGGAGGCCGAGGGGATGGGGGCACCACCCACATGCTACTCATGCCCGGGACCCTGGGGCAGGGGAGTCTGAGCGCTGGGCTAGCCGGTGGCCACCGTACTGACGGCTGCGGCAGGATGGGGACCCCACCCTAACTCAGACGCCCCACTCCCTGGAAGCCACAGGCCAGGGGCGCTTATCCGACGTCTGCCGACGGCGTTCAACCAGGCCAAAGAGGACAGAAGGGGAGCCCTTGCGGCCCTTGGGGGGTTAGTAAAGTCACCTAATGGAGCTCAGCCCGCAGGTGACGCGTGGGTGGCCTGTGGGAACGGGGAGGGCAGGTGCAGGGCTCCTCTCGGTCCCCTTGCTCGGCAGCCAGCAAGGACCCTTGACCGCCCCCCCCCAAAGCGCCGCCCCCAGACCCTCTCGGAGCCTCCCGCCCCGTCAAGGCCACGTCTGGGCTGCGAGGGACCGAGGCCACGGGCCCGAGAAGGGGAAGCAGGTCGCCCGTCAGAGTCGTCCCCTGGGACGCGGCCGCGTGGAGCCGGACAAGGGGGCTCCGTAGCAGAGTGGACGGGACCCCGCGAGTTCCTCTTCCCCGTCCCAGCCCCGGTAATCCTGCTCCCCCCACGTCTCCCAAGTCTTCTCTAATAAAGACGGAAGCTTCAGTTCACGCAGGTGCCCGGCCGGAGCCTGGTATCCGCTGGAGCAGATTTGAACCGCAAGGAAAATGAAACACGGGCGCCACTTTGGACATGGACTTTATTGTATAGAAATTTCCAGCAGAGCTACCACGGGGTCCCTGGGCGGGGGCGGGGGCTGCAAGAACCTAGTGGAGCCAGGCGGGCAGGCCTGGGGCCTGCTCCTGCTGGACCCCGCAGGCCCGGACCCCAACCGGCTGCCGCGAACGAGGCGAAGGAGCGGCCGAGGCCCCGGCCCCCCGGCCCCCCTGCCCCGCGGACCGACCCGACCCACCGAAAACCCTGCAGACTGAAAGCGCGACCCTGAACGACAAACGACCCTCGTTGGTGGGCCCCGAACAGGATGCTGGAACACAGTCTGAAAAATCAAATGTGTCGCCCTCGCGCTCCGCCAGGGAGGAACCCCTGACCCCGTGGGCCCCCGGGAGGTCCTCGTTGACTTGCACAGCAGGCCGCGTGCCTATGGTGTCGTTTGAAAAGTCATGTAGACGTTGCAAAGTCTTCAGGTGTCCGCCATCATCTGAAGAGGTTCGTAAAAAACTACTGGACTTGTTAAGACTACAAAGACCGGCCCCCGGTCCCCCGTGAAAAAAGCAATTGTTACAAAAATATAAAAAATAGCCCAGCTCCTGCCACGGGACCTCTGCGCCGGGAGCCCAGGCGCCGCCACCTCCCGCTCTATCAACCATCCGCCGAGCACAAGCGCCATCTCCTCGGTTTGTAGGAAGGAAAAGCTCCAAGGCAGTCCCTGTGCCGCGGGGCCTCGGGTGCCAGCAAGCGGGGCGCTCCGACCCCCCCTACAGCGCCGGCCCCAGGGACCTTGGGGGGCGGACCCGGGGGGAGCCCGCAGTGCGTGGACGCCGACACGTGGCTCTAAGCTCAAGTGTCTCCATGGACGTTGAGTCCACCTACGTGCACCTGGTGCAGCGGCCAGGCCGCCGGGCACTCGGACCCCCCGCGAGCTGGCGACGGGCCGGATCCATGCGGACAGCGGGTGCCGCGGAAAGGACGGTCCTGGGGGACGGCCCTCGCCCACCGGGCACCTGCAGGGCCTCCTCACCCCCAATGACACCCCGGGCCGCTGTGCGCAGGCTCAGGGAGCCCTCGGGGGAGACAGGCCGCTGGCCCACGAGGCTGGGCACCCGCAGGCAGGGACCCTCCGCACTTCGGGGAGACTGCCAGGCGCACCCTGCGCCCCCAAGGCCCGGAGCCCTCGCACGGGGCCCCGCCTGCACGTACCCAAGAGGACCCTCCGCCCCGAAGCCCTCACGACCTCCAGCTTCACCCTGAGGTGCGCAGAGCCTCCCTGCCCGCGACAGGCTCCCGCGGGCCCTACTTCACCTGCAGCCTGGCTCGCGCCCCCCACCCCTGCAGGACCCCTCGCCTCGGCCGTAGCCACCAGTACCTGTCATAGGCCCGCCTGGCACCCCGTCCGACGCCGCCTGCCGCGGCCGCCACCACCCTGGCCTGAGACCCAGGCCACACGCCTGTAGGCGGGAGCGGTGACCCTCCTGCGCCTCTAATGACCCCGAGGCTCTCCTGTTCGGAAGAACCACATGTTCACACCGCTGAGGGTTTTATTTCACAGATCACGGTGGTGAGGTTAGGATCCCAGCCCTGGCCATGGTCGGTCGTCACACGTTTCCCAACACCTGCTCGTGTCTTCAGATCGGAAACCTCTCCCCTTACACACCCTTGCTGTTTTAGACCCCAAAGGACCTCCCTGAAAGCAGCAACGATTCAGAGAACACCGGCCATCTGTGCTGAGCAAGTCCCCTCTACTTTGGTTGCTTCAAAAAAAGAAAGAAAAAAAAAAAAAAACACCCAGGACTTCTGAGTTACTCCCCATCACATCGCTCAGAAGAGAAGAGCTCCCGACATCAAGGCACAAGGAAAGAAGTCTCTTGGGGCAAAATGACAACGAGAGCGACTGGTGACCTCCGTGAGGTGTGAGGCCTGAGGCCGGGCGGCCGGGGCGGCGAGTCCAGCGCGGGGCGCCCAGAGGGAGGTCGAGGCCAGCGGTCCTCAGGCGTACTTGTCCAGGAACGTCATGTGGAAGTCCTTCACCTTCTGCAGGACTGTCTTCAGCTTCTCCACCGGGGGGAGGATGGTCATCCTGTCCGGGAACAGCATGGCCTCAAGCTGCGCACACGGCGCCCGCAACGGGACGCGGGAACCCAGGCTGAACCTGCCCCCGGCCCGCCCCCACGGACACATGCCCGGAGGCAGCAGGATGGGCAGCACGGGGCCGCCACCACCGGGAAGCCCGCCCGGCTCTGAGTCATGTAGACCCTTCCTCTGTGGCCGGACTTGCTGTTTCCGGCGGGTGCAGAGCCAGCGGCTCCTCCTGTGGCGGCGGGGGGGGGCGGGGGGTCTCCAAATCCCTTGGCGGGAGAACCTCCGGGCTCAGCTGCCCTCCTGGGGCATCCCAGGTCACGGGGTAACGACCCTCCCTGGCAGGGCCGGGAGCTCCCCCAGGAAGGCCGCCCACGAGCTGCCAAGGAGAACCAAGGATGCTGGGAGGCCGACCCTACACGAGCGTCTATGCCGCAGACGCACCTGCCCGCTGGGCCCGCGGCCGGGGTCAGGCTGGGCTCCAGGCTAAGCCCAGGACGCCGCCCTGCGCAGAGACCCCGGCCCCTCGCTCAGCACCAGCAGCCGCCCTGCAGGGTCCACACCCCTAGGGTCACGCACGTCAGTACGTGGAACCAACTGCACGGCCTCTCGCAGACTCTGGATGAGCTGCTGGGCGCTGCACGCGGGGTTGGGGGAGGGCAGGGAAACTGAGGCACCCATTGGGAACATTCAGACGGCTCGCGATGGGCCGTGCGCGCCGTCCCCCACGGCCCCCGCAGCCCCGGGCCCTGCTGCAGGGACGACGGGGCCAAGCCCTCGGGCTCTGGAGGTGCCGGGGCCGTGTGGGGCAGCAGGGGTACCTGAAGTGGTAGGTGCCTTCCCTCTGCCCGAAGCCGCTGCCGGGCACCACGCAGATGCCGGTCTCCTCCAGGAGCTTCATGCAGTAGAACATGTCGGGGGCCATCTCGTGCGCCTGCGGGCAGACACAGCTCAGGGCCCAGCCAGGCTCCCGCGCACTCGTCACTGCAAACTCGGAGCCCGCGGCCCAGGCGGCAGCTCTTTCCACGGCCAGGTCCCCCCCCCGCTCCACAGGGACCGGGCCCCGACAGCCATGATGGAGTGGCCCAGCTGTGGAACCACCACTCCTCTCCCACGGCTTGGTCTCCCGTGGTGACCCTCACCCAGCAGGAGCTCAGCAAACCTCGGTGGGGGTCCCCCCAGCGCCCAGCACTCAGCCCGGGGTCTGCTCGGGGGGCCTGCGGGGAACGGCGCCTCGGGGTCTGTGCACCCCCCACCCGGTCTACACAGCCTGCGGCGCCCGCGAATCGCTTCCTGGCTCCAGCACCAGGGACTGAACCACATGCTGAATGGTCACCAGGGATTGAGGACGTGGGGGGGGGGGGGCATGGGGGCAGCACCCTGAGAAGCACCGGGGGGGACAGCACCTGGAGGAGCCCCAGGAGGGGACAGCACCCTCAGGATCTGCACCCAGGCCCTCCATCCTCAGCACACGGCCTGCACATGACCCCAGGCCCTCCCGGCCCCTGCACCCTAAGGAGACCCTGGGCGGTGTCGGGGTGTCACGTCCTTGCCCATGGGTCGAGAAGCCCCCACCCAGGCGGCCACCACTTCCTGGCTCTCAGGCCGTCGGTCACATGCGGGACACCCCCCGCCCCCATGAGCACCAATGCCCAGAGCCCGGGTCCACACGCTCGCCCGGGCGTCCCCTCCTGTGACCCCCTCTGTGCACCCGCCCCCCAGGCCCAACCTGCGCGGCCTCCACGGCTCGGCCGGGGATGAAGATCCGAGGGAAGGCGTACATGGCACCCTGCAAGGGGTTGCAGTGGATCCCTGGGACCTGGTTGAACAGGTCCTCCGTCAGCTTGGCCTTCGCCGCCAGGTTTCCCAGCACCGACTCCTTCTCCTGCAGGGACACAGGACGGGCTCCCTGAGCCTCGGGGTGGCCACGCCGGCGACACGAGCATGGAGCCCCAGGCGGCGCCTCTGCCGCCCCACAGGACATCCTTCCCCAGATGACGAAGCCCCGGCCCCGCTGTCTGAGCGCACTTGGCCCCAGAAGGACGGAACGCCCTAGAACAAGCTTCCAGGAGTCGGCCCGCCACGTCCTTGGAGGTGCTGGGTTCTCGTGCTATGCGTGGGACACGTGACACAAGCAAGCCGTGTCTGCCCAGGACGTCGGCCGGGCCGGGGGCTGCGGCCTCGGGGTCAGTGACACGTGGCCCACGTGCACATGGAGCATCGCTTAGCCTTGGACGGGGAGCGGGTGCAAAGGCGCCTCGAGACAGGACGCCGTGTGAAACGCCCCGTGCAGCTCCGCGTGGAGCAGCAGCCACAGCAGCCCCGTCACAGCCACGGGACACGAACGGGGGTCAGCGAGCGGCGGGGAGGATGGGCCAGCGGGTGGCGTGCTCACCGCGTGGACCAGGACAGGCTGCTGGGGACGGTGGCGCTGCCGTCGCGCCATGGCGTGGACACACTCACGCACCAGGCTGCTCGGTTCACCACAGCTAAGACGGCAAATAAATTTTACGTCCCTGCGTCTTACTGCAGCTCCAAACCCCTGAGCCTGGAGCAGCCCGGGACGGACTCTGCGGGGACGCGACCCATAGGTCCTTGTTCCGACTGGTTAACGTTGGGCTGTCGACCGCGCGGCTCAAAGGGGCAGAGGGACCACGGGAGCTGCAAGGCCACCGCTGGCGCCTCAGCCTGGGACCCAGCCAGCTCATCCTCCACTCCATGTTGGAGCCCGCGGCACGGAGGCCTCCGCTCAGGGTGCCCGCCCGCCCCACACCAGCCCCGGGGGCGGCCCAGGCGCCAGGAGGGCCTGCGAGCACCCCGCAGCCTGTTGGTGACCCTGAGCGCGGCGTGAACCCCGAGAGCCTGGTGCGGCCGTGGCACTGGGCGCCCGGGACGCGGCGACTCACCCTGTGGAACTGCTCGTAGGACTCCTCCCCGGGCACCGGCGGGTTCACGACGATGTCCATGGCAGCCTGCCCGGACACCGGGGGGCACAGCCGCACGGAGAGCAGCTTCACCAGCTGACCCTTGATCTCGGGGTGCAGGTTGATCACCTCCATGTAGCCTCCTCTGTAGCCACACCTGCAGAGCAAAGGGAGGGGACCAGCAGTCAGAGGGGCCTCGACTAAGGGTGGGGTGGCCACCCAGACGCCCTGGAAGCTGTCCCCGTCCTCCTCCCAGGGTCCCCAACCTCCCCAGGGTCCCCATCCTCCCCACCCCACCCCCCCGTCTCCGTTCTGGCCCTACCACAGGGCAGCCAGGCAGCGCGTAGTACCAGAGGGTCCACTGCGACCCACCCCTGCGCTCACCCCCCACGGCTCCTCTCCTGCTCCAGGGAGAGTAAACTCCAACCCAAGGGGCCCAGGCGACCGGCCATCTTCCATCTTCCGCCACTCACTGGTTTCCAGCCCCACTTCCCCTGCTTCCCCTGCACACTCCAGCCACGCCCAGGGCTTTGCACGGGTACCTCCCTCCTGGACACCCCCCCCACATTCCCGCAACCCCTCTGCGCGTGCCCCCGCCGACACGTGATTCTCCCCATTTGTCTATGCCTCTGTCTTTGCTAGAACATAGCGGCCAGGGCCGGGAGCGCCGTGCGTCACCCACCGCTGTACCCTCAGTGCCAGGACTGGGCTTGGACCCCGAGCGGGTCACCTTGTGTGAGAACCACCACGGGGTGGCAGGGGCAGCCCCGGCCCTGGGCTCTGAGACGCCCCCACCGCAGCCCACCACCTCCTGGCACCTGTCCACCCAGCTGCCCTCCCAGGCCCCTCAGGGTTCAGTCCCAGGGCAGCAGCGTGGGCGCCGGCAGGAAGCGCGGGGAGCCCGGGGCCCCGGCAGGACCTCACCGCACGGGCGCCCCTGCACCAGGGCTGAGCTCATGCACAGGCCCCCTGAGACGCCCCTGAGAGGGGCGGGGCCGCGGGAGGGAGCAGAGGCCTACGTACTCGCCCATGTAGCCCTTGGAGGTAGAGTGGAAGGACGCAAGCTCCACGTTGCTCGAGTACTCGGGCCCCATCTCGTAGAGCACCTTCTTAAAGGAGTGGAATCTGCAGTCCGGAGAGTACACGTTGTCCTGGTACACCTGGGGGGACAGACGGGGACAGACGGTCACCCCGACTGCCCCACAGCCCCGAGCCGGGCGGCTGCCGCTGCCCAGGACCAGCCAGACTCCGCCTTGGCTGGGATCACCTGGAGGCCTGCCACCCGGCCACCCCTGCACCGTGGTTTGGGTCGCCTGACGGGCTCCACGAGGGCACTCGATGGGGTGTTATTGTGTGTTGGCAAATTGAATTTAAAGAAAAGATCTCTAAATAAATAAATAAATATATAAATAAATAAAAAATAATAAATAAATAAAATTAAATAAATTGACTAATTAATAAATTAATAAGTAAGTGGTTTGCATTAACCTCCTGAAATTTGTAACCACTCGATGGGGTTGTCATCGTGTGTTGGCAAATTGAATTTAAAGAAAAGATCTCAAAAGTAAGTAAATAAATAAATAAGTAAATAAGTGGAAGGAAGGAAGGAAGGAAGGAAGGAAGGAAGGAAGGAAGGAAGGAAGGAAGGAAGGAAGGAAGGAAGGAGAAAGAAGAAAAGAAAAAAAGAAAAGAGAAAAAGAAAGAAAAGAAAGAAAAGAAAAGAAAAGAAAAGAAAAGAAAAGAAAAGAAAAGAAAGAAAAGAAAAGACAAAAGAAAGAGGTTTGCATTAACCTCCTGAAATTCATGACCAAGAATCCAAACCCATATAGGGAGGATTCAGGGCACCGTGTCATAGATCATGACCTCCTCAGGCCCGGTTAGAACCCCTCCTCCTCCGACACCTGGAAGGTTCCCTGGGTCACAGGCTGGAGCCCGGCCCCCTCCCGTCGCTCCCCAGGGGGCCTGGCCCCATCTCACCTCATCTGCCAGGAGAAAGAGCTTCTCTTCCCAGGCAAAGTGGATGACGTCCTCTATGCACTTCCTGCTTTGCACCTGACCTGGAAAATCCCCGACAAAACCAGAAGGCCGCTTGCGATGCCGTCTCAGGGGTCCCTAGGTGAGAACCCCGACCACGCGGCGCCCTGTGTCCCCACGGGCCCTGGGCTCCCACCGCAGCTGCCCTGCCTGGGGGGGCGCAGCCAGCCTCCGGGGCCCGAGTGCGGGGAGCCGGGGAGCCGGGTGCGTGGGCGGAGGAGCCTTCCATACTCAGCTGCTGTCTTGTTACTGCTATGAGGTGTGTGTGCGGACGTGGGACCGTCTGTGCCAGAGGACCGAGTCCTGAGGGCAGGACGGTAAACTCCATGCCCCCGTCCACACCCCACAGCACTGGGGGCTGCTCGGGGGCACGCACGCCACGGGGGCCGGGCGGGGGCCGTGCGGCTCACCAGCTACCCCTGAAGCCAGGACTCCGCTGTCCCCACAGGTCGAGCTGCCTGCAGACCCTACAGCGCTCACCCGGGCCCCACAGCCACACTGTTAGGTCTGTGCACCGAGGGCGGCGGGTGCCCCGGGAGGGCGAGGAGGGGCAGGGGAGGACAGGGCCTCACAGGCCTGCAGCCCCGAGGGAACGGGCCGCCCCGTGCAGCCCTGAGGGCGGGGGCAGCGATCCCCGAGCCGGCAGATGCAGCAGCACCCGTGGGGCTGCACAGGGAGGGGCGCCCAGCTGTGCCCAGCAGGGGACCCCCCACGGCAGCGGCCACACAAGGAGGCTGACGGGCCTCTGGGGCCTCGCAGTGCAACTGTCCCACAACCCGGTGAGAAAACCCGCCACTTGGCGACCGTCCTTCCCGAGTGACAGGCAGCTGTTGTACGGGGACACAGCCCCTCTGCGTCCAGCAGGCCCGGCAACAGGGATCTGGCCAGAAGCCTGGGGATGGGACCGGCTGGGGACAGGCAGTGACCCGACTCGGGCGGAGGGGAGTCTGGCCTGGGGTCTTCGTTAAAACTCGGGGCGAAGCTCTGGGCTGAGGCTGCTCAGTGGGCAGATGAATGCCAGAGGGCTCCGACCAGGCCTGGGGAACGGACCGGGTCCCCGACGACGACGCGGATTCCGGCGCACTGCTTACCCCCGGACTTCAGCCTGTGATCCACCCCTGCAGCCCGAGCCGGGGTTCTGCCTGAAAACCCAGGGATCCCGCTCACTGTCCCCAGGGGGTCCCTGGCTCACCGTCCCCAGGGGTCCCCGCTCACCCTCCCCGGGGGTCCCTGCTCATCCTCCCCGGGGGTCCCCGTTCACCATCCCCAGGGGTCTCCGCTCACTGACCCCAGGAGTCCCCCTTCACCCTCCCCAGGGGTCCCCACACACTGTCCCCAGGGGTCCCCACTCATCCTCCCCAGGAGTCCCCCTTCACCCTCCGCAGGGGTCCCTGCTCACCGTCCCCGGGAGTCCCCCTTCACCCTCCCCAGGGCCCCCCCCCCCCCCGCTCACCATCCCCGGGGGTCCCAATGACTGTCCCAATCCATCTGGACACCGTTCAGCCCAAGTGGCCTGGCGCGAGCTCCAGACAAGGTATGGGGCCATCACAAGTGGGCTCCTCCTCCTCCCATCCCCTGTGCCTCCAAGAGCCCACCGAGGCCCACAGGCACACACTCAGGCCCCAGAGCGCAAGGCCGGCCTCCGCACATCGTAAAGTCACTCTTTAAAAACCACTCACATTATATACACTCACGTGACCCCTTTGCCTAAAATACTCTCTGACGCAGGGTTTCTTCCCACTAAGGCCCAGCCACAAAGTCATGGGTCCCTGAGCAGGAGCTAGGTGCAGGGAGCATTTCCCAGCACTTCCCACACGTAGGACCGGCTGCGCCAGGCTGGGACCAGCAGCAGGGGCATCACCTGGAAGCCCCCCGGCCCCCCCACCCTAATTTACACCAGGGGACCTTGCATTGGGGCCTGGCGGTTTGTTTTTTCAACAAGTGAGAGTCTGAGAACCACGGTCCTGGGCGCAGGGAATACTGATGCCTCGGCCCCGCTCCGGAGTCTGGCCTGCGGCAGTTTTAAAAGCTCCCTCTGTGATGCTAACGTGCAACCCGCACAGGGAGCCGAGCTGGCGGTTATTTTCCTCCCCCAACCCCGTCCCCACCCCCAGGAAGCCCCCCCCCACCTCGCACCCGCACTCAGGAATTCAAGTGGTGCTTTCGCTGCCTGAAGCCTCAGTGATGTTCCAAGGAAGCAGATCCCACAATCGACTCAGAGGCGCTTGGCCCTGATCCGACTCCTCCCACAAAGGAGGAGAGAGGAGCCCTTGTTCCCGCATCTGCACACCACTGGGGCAAATGAAGCCAGCGGCCCAGAAACAGGGAAGCAAGCAGCGCTGTGCGTCTGTTCTTGTGGTTGTTGTTTTGTTTTGTTTTTTAAAGAAAAATATGTAAAATTAAGAGTGCCTTTCAGCTCTCAGAGACGGTTTTGTTCGGTTTGTTTGCGGTTGTTCCTGACCTGGTATTTCCTCCTCGGGTCTCAGGGTACCCAGGGACGCCGCGGCCAAGAAAAATAGAAACGCTCGCACCAGCGTTCTGAAAACTGGGTCAAAGAACCAGAAGTCAAGGTAAAACGAGGCCTACGATTACAGGGTGTGCGGGAGCAAGCTCAAGGGGACTCTTTGCAAACGCAAGAAAAAAAAAAGTGATCTTAATAATAATGTAACCTGGGGGGCCCTGGGGGACTCAGCGGTTTGGCGCTGCCTTCAGCCCAGGGCTCCCTGCATGGAGCCTGCTTCTCCCTCTGCCTCTGTCTCTGCCTCTCTCTGTGTCTCTCATGAATAAATAAATAGTCTTTAAAAAAAAATAATACTGTAACCCTGTCCAAAAAAATAAATAAACAAATGCTTGCATTTGTCACCTCTTAGTGTGGCCTGTGGCCGACTTTATGGCTTTGTCTTAGCAAACCTGCAGCTGGATCAGGACACCGGGAGCCAAGAGAACAGCCCATTATTTAAGTCCTTAGGTCCAGGCGTGCGGAACCCCAGCTGCCCCGCCCCCCGCCCCCCAGGAAGCTGACAAAGCAGAGCACACACCTGTGGGGTTCCCGGGGTTGATGATGCACAGCACCTTGGGGTTACAGTGGTCCTTGGCCTCCTGCACGGCCCGCCGGAGCTCGTTCACGTCGAGGGCCCAGCAGTTCTCCTCGTCCAGGTAGTAGTTCACCTGGATGGCATCGAGCTCGGAGATGACGGCCGAGTAGAGGGGGTACTGTGGGATGGGGATCAGCACACCCGTCCGCGACTTGCCGCCCCCGGACACCAGGATCTTCAGGATCGTCTGCAACACAGAGGTCACGTCTCCGGGGGACGCCGCCACTCCCCGCCGTCACCAGCCACCCCTGCCTGCCTTCCCTGCAGCCCCCGTACCCCGGGAGCTGCCTGGCTTCCCCAGGCTCACTCCCTCCACCTGCACAGCCAGGTGTGCTCCGAGAAGACAAGAGAGCAGATGGTCAAGGTTGTCAGCACAGCCGTTCCAAGACTCACAGCTCGTACTTTCTCAAGAGGGTGTCTTAGAGCAGCAGCCCCGGGAACCCCGTGTTGGCCTCTAAGCTTGTTCTCAAGTCCCGGCGGGGGACGACAGGGGACGGCGGGGCCGGTCTGGTGATGCCCAGGCCCCCCCACCTCCGCTGGACAGACGGACAGACTCCCCAAGGGATCCTTGAATCAGGATGAAGTCCCTGCCGACTACCACCAGGTGGTGTTCCAACCCGCTGTCCCCGCACTGTGACACCCAGGAACCCAGGGGACGCTGCCTGCAAACCCCGCTCTGCAGGGGCTCCCAGCTCACACGCAGGCCCCTGGCCACAGGAGGCCCCATTACAAGCAGCTCCACACCGGATCCTCCTCACCAGAGCCCGGTGGCTCCTCCCTCAGCTGCTCCAGGCCCTCGGCTGTCCCCGGGCCTCCCCAGGCCTCCCCAGGAACTAGGGGAGGCCCCGACAGCGGAGCACAGAGGCAGAGGCGGGGCTGACCCAACCGCAGTCTCCCAGCACACAGGCTGACCTGCTGGACCCTGAAGGTTGCCGAGCAACCAGGCACCCACACACATCACTAACAGGAGCCTCAGAGGTCAAGGGGCAGGTGAGGCCGTGAGAGGGAGGGCCGCACAGTGCCGGAGCCGGGGCCGTAGACCCAGCACCTGCGAGCCCCTGCCACCCCGGCCCCCCTCATCTCCTGAAGGCTCCCCCCCATCACGCCCCCTCCCCGCCAAGGCCACAGCTTCACACAAACCCAATTACTCCCGCACCGCCTGCCCTCCCTCTGCCTTCAATTCCTTCAGTGGACGCCGGTCCTAGGACAGGGACCTGAACCCCCCTGTGGCCACTGAGACCCTGCAGGACCCAGGGCCCAGGCAGCCCTCCTCCCAGCGGGTCCCTGCCGACAGGCCCACACCTTAGCCCTAACACACGGGTGAACAAGGGGTCACAGCCACCACCACACGTACAGAAATGCCGTCGCTGGCTCCAGTGGTCAGGTAAATGTTGTCGGGGTCTGCGGGCACCCCGCCGTCCCTCCTGGTGACGTAGGCGGCCACGTCCTCGCGGATGCAGTTGACGCCCTGGCTGGCACTGTAGGACCCTGGAAGACAGCAGGCAGGACCGTGACCAGGGGCGGGGCAGCTGGCTCTACAGAGGTGGTGACCCCAAATAACCTCCGGGGTGGGGCCGAGGAGGCCCTGGGACCCCACTCTCAGGACTCCAGGCTATAGAATCGTGGCCACCACCAACCGGGGGCACATCCACGACCCACCCGTCCACCCACACACCTGCCTCTCAATCCCCTCATCCATCCGTCCACACACCTGCCTCTCCGTCCCCTCACCTGTCCATCCGTCCGTCCATCCATCCATCCATCTGCTCGTCCACCAGCCCCTCCGCCGTCAGCACCTCTGTGCATCTACCCACCTACCCCCCACCCGCTCGTCTGTCGATACTCCCGGAGCAGCTACTGCATGTCAAGCTACAGTCCAGGCCCTGGCTCCCCATCAGTCCGATGTGCCCAGACCCGTTTTCCTCCACCCTCCCGGGATCCACACACGTCCTACAACCTGTGGAGCGAGGCCGCTGGGCCCGCTGGGTCGCTACCGCCTTGGCCCACACGAGCTCCAAGCAACCTGGAGGCACACGAAGAGCCCTCGGCAGCCCTGGAAATGGTGTCCTGACCTGCGTGAGGGCCGCGCAGGCGTGGGCCGTGCAAAAACCACTCATTCGTTTTATACCTCAATAAAGAGGGTTTGGGGTTTCTTATTGTAGGGTTTTTGGTTTTTTTACTGTCAGGCCACTGTTTTTGTAAAGAACTTAAAAAATAGGTGCTTGTACAAGCGCCCAACCTGGTCGGAGTCCCAAGCTGGTGAGCTGAGGTGGATGGGCGGCTGGAGGTCATGGGGGAGGCAGGCTTTTCACTCTATGGCCTTTTACGCCCCTAGAACTTTACACCAGGTTTAGGGAGACCCAGCCTACTCCTTCCAAGGCTCCTGCAAAACCACCACCAGGAGCGGGATAGGGCTCTGGGCCTCAGGATCAGCCAACCTTGAGGGGCCGCCCGATCCCCCCAAGGATGAAGGGCAGGCAGCAGGAACCTCGCGCATATTCTAATGCGTCTGGAATACTTTGGGGATTAGAACAGTGGGGAGGCACGTGCGCTGGAGAGGCCTCCAGGGTGCTCACCTGCGCCCTAGGCCTGGCCATCCTCCCCACCGCCCACCAGCAGCCAGGCCTCCCCGCTTCCCGCCTCCAGCTCACCCACGTCCTTCCTCTCTTGCCTCTGGCTTTTCTGCTGCACCCCAGACCACACCGGTCCTTCAGAGCCCGACTGGTCTGTGTGGGGTCGACTGGTCTGTGTGGGGTCGTCACAGGACCCTGCCCCGCCTGCCCCGCCCCCCGCCCCCGGGTCCTGATGGAGATCCCTCCAGCCCCTTGTATGCACGTGAAGCCCAGCCTCCCCGTGAAGCCCAGCCTCCCCGTTGGCCCTAAGCTCCCTGAGGGAGGCACCATCACCTGTTTCCTCTGTGCGTCTCTACCCCCAGCTTGGCCCCACTGCCCCCGACGGATGGCAACCGGAGCCCAAGGCCCACACACTGGCATCACGGGCACTGCCAGACTTCCCAGCCCCGTCCGGACCTCTTCCCTTGATGACACTCTGTTCTCAGACCACAGTGCCTTTGCATGCACACGTCTCAGCCTGGCACACACCTGCAGGTTCTCTACGACTCACCGTCCACATGAATTTGAATCTTATTTGCTTCTTAAACCCTCCCTCGACAGAGTCCCTTGTTAGAGCCCCACAGCTCTCTTTTTCTCCAAGAACTCATGAAAACTAGAGATTACTTTTTGCGTGAATTCTTCTCGATATTTGTTTCTCCCAAATCTGAGAGTGAATTTCGTGAGCCTGAAAACACCCCCACCTAGTCCACCAGCACCTAGAGCAGTGCTGGGGCGGGGGGGGCAGACAAGGGTCTGCACCTCCCTGGATGTCTGGAGTCCACCTTAATCCTAAAATCCAAGATACAACCTGAGAACTGAATCACGAATCAAACAGAAAGTAAGAAAACACTACCAAAAAGCAATTTTAGGGGCGCCCGATGGCTCAGCTGGTTGAGCATCAGAGTCTGATTTTGGCTCAGGTCATGGTCTCAGGGTCGTGAGACTGAGGCCCACGTCCAGCTCCAGCAGGGAGTCCGCGAGAGATTCCCTCCTTCGCCCTCTGCCCCTCCCCCCAACTTGGCTCTTTCTCAAATAAATATTTTAAAAAGTGATTCCAAAGGGCACGATTAAAACATGTCCAGATGCGCTCTAAGACCTGTGTACGTAGTTAACAATCCCGAGCTGGGTCAGGGTAGCCCTGGGCATGTTCCGTTTACGTCTATGGGCAGGTAGGCCCAGGTGACGGGCGCCTGCCCCAGGAGGTTCCTGCCCTACCCCTGCAATGGTTGGGGGCTGGTGGCGACCCCAGGGCAGGGCTTCTCCACACCGGCCTCGGGCTTAGCCTCCTTGAAAAGGCCAGGAGGTGAGTGTAGAGGAGGAGAGGCCAGGGGTGTGCACCCCACCTACCCTCATACGGTCCCCACACAGAGCTCAGGGTAGGTCCCCAAAACCCCCGAGACCAACCCTCCTCTTGCTACAACACCCCAGGCGGGGACTCACGTGAACGTGGCCTCCCAAGCTCCTGCCCAACAGCCCTTGCACACAGAGCTGCAAAAACTCCAAGAAGCTTCCAAGGCTGAACAAAGGACCCTCCCCCTCCCCCAGACACCGCAGGAGGCGGGCAGCGGGGTCAGAGGGCTAGCGGCCTCCTCCAGCCTCCCCCTGCAGCCCCAGGAGCCTAGCCCACAGCCACAGGGCTCTCAGAAGTGCCTGGTGTGGGGCAGAGGGTGCGGGAGAGGGCGAGCCTGAGGCTGGCTTGCCCCACGGCGTGCTGGCACCCTGCCCAGTCCGGCGGGAGGAAAGCAAGGGCAGCCGGCCCCCGCCCGACAGGGACACCATGAAGGACAGCGACCAGACTCAAACAGAGGCGAGCACAGGGCCCTTGTTCCCAGGGAAGACTGGAAAAGGCAGGGGAGGGGCAGGGGGACGGCAGAGGCCAAAGGTAGCTGCTCCTGTGCTGAGCAAGCCTCGAGAAACCCTCTTCACGCTCCAGAACACTCAGGCACATGTCCTAGAAAACCCAAGAGCAACTGTTTTTCCTGCTGCGAGGAAAGCTGGACCCCCGCTTGGCTCTGGGCAAAGGGACAGCGCAACAGTAAACAAGGCAAAGAAAAGGAGAGAACAAAGAGCGAGGCCCGGAGGCTGGAAATCCATCTCAGGAGCAAAGACCAGAGAAGATCATCTCCACATCCTTCAGGGGCCAAATTCCAGGGCTGTTCTCAGAGGGGAGCTCCGGGGCTGGGCAGGTTCCCTCCTGGGGTGCTATGGGGCAGGATGTGCTCCCTCCTGGGGTGCTCCCTCCTGGGGTGCTCCGGGGCTGGGCGCGCTCCATCCTGGGATGCTCCTGGGTCAGGATGTGCTCCCTCCCAGGGTGCTCCGGGGCTGGGCGTGCTCCATCCTGGGGTGCTCCTAGGGCAGGATGTGCTCCTTCCTGGGGTGCTCCTGGGGTGGCCCGCTCCCTCCATGGGGTGCTCCTGGGGCAGGATGTGCTCCCTCCTGGGGTGCTCCTGGGGCAGGATGTGCTCCCTCCCTGGGTGTTACGGGGTAGGACTTGCTCTCTCCTGGGGTGCTCTGGGGTGGGCCTTCTCCCTCCTGGGGTGCTCCTGGAGCAGAATGTGCTCCCTCCATGGGGTACTCCGGGGCAGGACTTGCTCCCCTCCTGGGGTGTTCTGGGGCTGTGCGTACTCCCTCCTGGGGTGCTCCTGGGCTGGGCACACTCCATGCGATGCTCCACTCACTCCCTCCTGGGGTGCTCCACTGGCTCCCTCTGTGGGGAGCTCCCTCCGTAAGGAGGCAGATGGCTGCACATGGGCTTCCAGCAAAGAGGCCCAAAGGCCAAAGGCCGCAGCATAGTGGGAAGGGAGGATCCCCCAGGCGGCCCAGGCCCCTCCCAGCTCCCCCCACCCCACCCCGACTCCTGCTGTGGGGTGACTGCAGGGCGAGTGAGCGAGGGGCCTGCACAAAGCCACCCATGGCCCTTCACAGGGCCTGTCCCTGAGGCCAGTCACCAGGTCAAACCCTCTCGGGGGCGTTGGGGGGACAGGTTAAGCCCCTGACTCTGGATTTCTGCTCAGGTTGTGATCTGGGGTCCTGGGGTCAAGCCGTATAGGGCTCTGTGGGGGGGGGAGCCGGGAGGATTCTCTCTCCCCCTCCTCCTCCCTCTGCTCTCCCTCTAGATTAATCTTAAAAATACATACATACGTACATAAATATAAAAAATTTCTAAATATCAGTCTTAAAAAAAACAAAAGAAAAACCAAGGCCCGAAGACCCCTGCCCTGACCGAAGGCTCAGTCGCCAGGGCCGGCCCCCGGGGGATGAAGCCCAAGCCCCTGCAGCTGCGGCCTCCCCCTGGGTGCTCAGCTCCAGGTTCCCAGAGCCTGCGGTGAGGAGGGAGGGGCTGCCCCTACCTGTCCCGTCCGTGTCACACACACACTCGCTTGCTCACGGGGTAACCCCCTTGGGGCCAGGGCAAAGCCAGGGCCCAGCCCATGCCCACTCCCGCCCGCTGGAACCCGCTGGGACCCGCTGCTCAGGGGGCCTCACCCAGGCTGTTCCCGCCACAAGCCTGTAGGATCCTCCGGGCTCGTTTCTTAGCATCTTCTGGGAAGCTGGGGCTGTCCAGCAGGTTGGGGTAGGTGCACAGTGCCATCACCTGGGGGAGCAGAGGCGCAGCTGGGCCTTGGCACCCCCACCCCGGGGCGCCCGCAGGGGTGTGAAGGGGGGCCTGTGCCAGCAGGCCTGCCCCCTGAGGCTCGGCCCTGAGAGCTGCGGGAGGGCGGGGAGGGATGCTGGGGTGGGGGGGTGCCTCAGCCCCGACTCAGGACCCCAAGGGGGCTGCCAGGGAGGAGCCAGGGAGCATGAGGGCAGCCCGCAGTCCCTGGCCCCCACTCCTCCGAGGACAGCGGCTCGCACACCCACCCCAAGCCACAGGTCCAGGGCCCCCTGAGCAGGGTGGGGGTTGGGAGCCTGACCCCTTCCTAACCTGCAGGGCCCCCCACCCCCACCCCGCCCTGGGGCCCTGCCCCTTTTCTCTCCATCATCCCCTTTCTGCAGCCAGAACCGAAAGCCAAGCCAAGCCAGGTCAGCTTTCCTTTCCCTTCGACACAATCACCCTGGCCTCACAAATTAAGAGGATTAAGCAAGGAAATGTTTGCAAAAGTGCCAGTAACCCCAGCTCGAAGGGCAAGCCCAGGCTGGCTGGTGAGGAGCTGCCCCAGGAGCATGGGAGGGAGGGGGGAGGGAGAGAGAGGAGAGGGGAAGAAAGAGGGGAGAGGAGGGAGGGGGGAGGGGAGGAGGGAAAGGAGAGGGGGAGGGGAGGGGAGGGGAGGGCCTCACTCTCCTTGCTCCTCGGAGGTCAGTGACCTGGCCTGCACCCCCCTCACCCAGCCGCTCTGAGGACCAGCTGGGGAAGGCGGCAGGAGCCCCACAGGTGGGAGAGGCCAGGCCTGCGGCAGCCCGGGCACAGCTGCACAGGGGCCACATCGGCCTCTTCGTGCTCAGAGCACGTGGTGGGGATGTGCCCCCCCAGCCACGGGGTTCCAGGACAGCCAGGCCCCCCACCTCCCCTGGCACAGCTGCTCCGTGTGGTCCCTGGCCTGGTCTGGGGCGGCTGTGTCCACAGGCAGCTCGTTGGCAGCAGTGGCCATGCGAAGGGGGCCCAGTGCACGTGCCCCGGCCAGCGCCGGCCCAGGTTCCCTTCCCCAGATCCCGGGTGGACTCCCGGAGCGAAGTGGGCCCCGGCACCCCCACGACCCCCACGCAGGGAGTAGGGCAGGGCGGCCCGTCCACGCTGGTGCTTCCCCGCAGCTGCCCTGTGAACCCTGGCCACGTCAGGGCTTCGTCTGTCCCGGCCCCTCCGAGGCCGCCTTCCCGCAGTGGCGTCCAGGCCCTGCCCAGGAGCCCCTGCGCACCCCCTGCACACCCGCACCCGCCTTCTCCCCTCAGCCCACAATCCCACCCACGTCCACATCCTCGCGGCTGGTGCTCCAACTGAAACATCAAAACCTGCGTCCTGAGACCCCAGAGCAAGCAGGGTCACATGCCACCCTGGTGGGCGCATCACACTCACCATGGCACCAAGGCCCCAGCCGTCCCGGAAGGCAACACTCCGGGCCACCCCGCTGGCAGGAGCAGAGTCCACGCTCAACCTCGGGGCGTCTCACGGCTGAGGCCGCGGGGCGCTCAACCACCTCCCCGCCCCCCGGGGCCTCCACCACCCAGACGGCCTCTCTGATGCCCTCGACCAAGCTGCACACTCAGGAGCCAAGACCCCGGGCTGTGGGAGGGCAGCGCGTCCCCGAGGGCTCCCCCCATGAGCCCAGTTTCCTAGAGGACTCTGGAAGGGGAGGCGGCGGCCAGGAGACACCCGGGCACTGGAGGGGGGCCACCCCGACGGCACCTGCTGTGGCCAAGGGGGCTGCTCGGGGGGAGGGGAGGCAGGGACGGGAGGAGCCCCGGCAGCCTCGATCCGCACCCCCCCAGCAGCCTCTGCCCCCGAGCACCCGCTTACCTGTCGGAGGAAGGTTATAGGCTGCTGGCCCATGGCCTGGGCGTCCCCGATGTTGGCGCGGATGACCTCGGTGAACGGTTTCTTGATACCCTGAGCAGAGAGGAAGCAACAGGTGGTCAGGCCCTCGATCCTGGATGCCAGAGGCCACGCCGGCCCCGCGGGATATTAATAAACACCCCTATTTTGAGTCTTACCCAGCGTCAGGCATAGAGCCAAGCCCTGGACGCGGCCGGCCCCATTTCACCTTAACCACGGCCCGGCCCAGTAAAGAGCCAGCATCGGCCTCACTTTACAAATGAGGACAATGAGGCTTCAAAGGGCTGAGAACCCACCCAAGGTCACATAACTCAACACAGGCACCGGGGTTTGAAGCCAGCCAAGCCCCCACCCCCCGTCCCTAACCACTGGGCTCACCACCCCCCACTTCATACGGAGGCTGCGAGAGCTCTCCCGGGCTACTGGGCACCCCGAGGCCGTCGCACGTCCAGGGTCCACCGACGCGGCCTGGCGGGGACGCCTCAACACGGGGCCCCGCGGCAAAGCGACCGGAAGGAGGCAGGGGTCAGCAGCAGAGGCCTCGAGATGCCGGGCATGGGGACAGGGGGCACCCGCCACCCGCCCCGGAGCTCGGCTCCAGTTGGCAGCCAGGCCACCGTCCCACCAGAAGACCCCACAGCAGGGACCTCTGGTTGCTGCCCTGCAGCTTGGCTTCGCACAGCAATGTGGCCTGATTATCACTTTTTTTTTTTTAAAGCATCAGGGACAGAAAGACTCATGGCCACAGCCTGAGCAACGTGTCCAGCACAGGAAGAGGGTCCCGGAGAGGAGGGACTTGGAGACCACCCGGGGGGGGGGGGGGGGCTGAAGGACCTCATCCCGGGCAGAGGATGTGGGACCTGCCGACACTGGGGGCTCCATGGAATCAGCCGCCAGGAGCAGGTCAGGACCTCCGGGCAGGCACAGGCATCATCACCTTACAAAGCGGGGGACCGAGGACGAGGATGAGGTGGGGAGGTCACGGAGGTGGAGGAGGAGGAAGGCGAGGGCCAGTGGAGGGTGAGGACTGCTGGATTCGGATTTCAAAGGGACAATTCCATGATTCCACGTCTTTTTAAACATTTTTTTAATTTAAGTTCAATGTCGTTAACAGAAAACCTATTATTGGTTTCAGGGGGAGTTGAGTGGTTCACCCGCCACGTAACACGGGGCTCAGCACCCCCCTGCGTCCTCCCTCATGCCCCAGCCCCCGGCCCCCTGCCAGCAGCCCCCACTTAGTTTCCCAGAGTCAAGCGCCTCCTTCTCTGTTTTCCTTTTCCCACCCTGTGTGAATAAAAGCACCTTCAGAAAACTTCCTGTTTTTAAAATCAGTGACCTACACTTTAAGTAAAAAATAGTGACCTTAGGGGAACGAAAAGCAGCGGCACACAGGTCGTGAGCCTCATTGCTACCCCCAGACGCCCCCGGGGAGAAGGGAGCTGGCCCCAAAAGCGTGTGGGGCGCAGGTCTTGGAGACCCTCCCGCCCCTTCTGCGGCACTCCCCAGGGCTGCTCAGGATGAGGGGGTCCAGGCTTCGGGGAGAGGAGCCCAAGGGTCCTGAGGCCGCGGCCTGTGGGGCCACCCTCTGCTCCAGGAGGAGGACAGGGTGAGAGTGGGCTCGGGCTGGGGGAGGGACTCAGGCCCTGTGTGCCAAGGCCAGGCCTGAGCCACCTGGCACCAGCGCCCCCCGCCCAGCGTACGAGCCGCCGCAGCGCTCTGGGCCTGGCCCCGTGGAACGAGCACAGCCCACTCTCAGGTCCACATAAAGCCTGCCCAGGCCAGCACCAGGTACCCTGCGCAGGCCGCTACAGAGGGTACTGGCCTGGGGCAGGGCCCTGGGTGGCCCCGTGCTGCCCGCCGACGCTGGGCCTGCTGACAAGGGGCCTGGGAACACGGAGCGCCCCTTCCCTTGGGCCTGGGCACCCGCAGGCCCCCAATGCTGCTGCGATGCATGAGCCGGGGCGGCGGGAACTGGCTCCCTGGACTGGGCAGCAGGGCAGGACACTGCTCGGGGCCACCTCCGGGGTCTGGGCACTCGAGGTCCACATGGGATGGGGGACGGGCTCACCAGGCCTGGGTCACCCGGTGGTGGCCCCGCCTCAGCCTGGGGCTCAGAGGCCAGCAGGCCGCCTCCCAGCTCATGCTCACACCCCCGGTGCACATCTGGGTGACCCGCCTGCATCCATCCACCCTGAGCTTCCTCCCCGTGGGGCCGGGAGATGAGGTCCTACCCAGGGAAGCTCCTGCCCCCGTCCAGCCTAGTGAGGGTCAGGGAACAGGCCCCCAGGCTGGAGGGATGGTGGACGTTCGAGGGCATCCGCAGGGAGGAGGAGCACGACGACCACGGTGCTCCCTGGCTCAGGCTCCAGCAGCACCACGAGAGTCCAAGGACAAAGGCAGCTCCTTGGGCAAGGGACGGCTTCTATCATCTCGTGGGACCGCCGGTTCCCAGAGAGCCTCCCTCCCGTTCCACGAACACTTATGGGTCACCCAGGCCGGGCAACAGGATGAGCAAGCCCGGAGACACCGCGATCCTTCAGAGCCCGGGCTGGTGGAGAACCGCAAGGGGGCACAGGGAGGGGACGGCCCGGCGAGCCCCACACCGGGTGCACCGTGTAGAGAGCCCTGGGCGATGGACCGGACCGGGGCAGGCGGCAGGTGCTATAGGGAGCCCCTGGGACAGACATCAGACACCAGCCAGCCCCCACGGTCCCTGCGCACAGGCGCATCTCACAGCTGGGGAAACTGAGGCTCACCACAGGGTCTGGCCCCAACCGTGGTGGAAAGACAAGCGGAGCTGGAGGGAGCGTGGCGGGCGCTAGAGCTGCCCAGGACCAAGCGGTCGGCGGAGCTGCAAGGGCTGAGTCCTCAACACTAACACGGGGTGGGGGGTGCAGGCCGCTGACCTCTAGGGCTCTGAAGGAAGGTCACCCGTGGAGACCGAGACGCACGGAGAGCTGCTGAGCCCCCAATAGGGTCCTGCACAGCGGCAAGACAGGGCGAACCCCAAAGAACACGCTCCGAGCCCCAGAGAGGGGAAAGGGCTCTTCAGGGCACAACTGGCCTCCGCTGCCTGCAAAGCAGGCTCGCTAACACCTCCAACCAGTCTTTAGGAGGCATCACCTGGCCCATCTTGCAGAGGGATAGACTGTGGCCAAGGTGCTCTCGCTCGTAAGGCGAAGCCCAGGATGCAGGTGCGTGGTGGCCTCTGAGGGGATCCCCGGGGGGCTCGGCGGTTGAGCACCTGCCTTGGGCTCAGGGCGTGACCCCGGGGTCCCAGGATCGAGTCCTGCGTCGGGCTCCCTGCATGGGGCCTGCTTCTCTCTCTGCCTGTGTCTATGCGTCTCTCAGGAATAAATAAAATCTTTAAAAATAAAAAATAAATAAAAAATATAAGGCGGCCCCTGAGCTCTAAAGAAACCGACCGGGGAGGTCCCACCCCCTGGGCCTGGAGAGAGAGGCCTCGGCCTAACCCCGGGCTGCACGGCGCCACCCACTCTACCAGGGTAGACGCAGCGCACACTCGTGTGACACTCGCCGCCAGTTTCTCCCGTTTACGAACGTTTTGCCCCAACTGTGCGGACTTTACAAACAGAAGTGAAGCCACGGCTCTGCCTCCAAGTGTGCCCCGTCCTCCCCTCCCGCCACAAAGGGAGAAAGCAGTGGGTGGAGGAGGAACCCAGAGGCCTCGAGTCGCCTGTAGCGCTCGCTGCTCTGGCTGCTCGCACCCCGGCCTACAGAGCTGACGGCTTCTCCCCCGGAGCCTCAGGGCGGGCCAGGGCGGCCCCACTGGCCACCGAGAATGGCCCCTTTCATGCTGGGCCGGCCTCCCGCCTCCCACGGACCCGAGGACCCAGGGACCGGCTGCCGACGCCAAGCCAAACAGCAGCAGCTGCAGCCGCCCCACAGCGCGCACTGTCTGCAGAACACCAGGCGGAAGGGCGCCGGGCACGGGCCGGGGCGGCTGCAGGGGCGGTGCGCGGGCGGGGTGTGTCCTCATGCGGCCAGGGCGACCGTCACCGCACCCCCTGTGGGGCCCTGACCCCCCCTGACGCCCCCCGCTCAGGCCCTCATGACAGTGGTCCGGTCCGGCTGCCGTAGTTCAGAGGTGGGAGCATGATGCTGTGCAGGGCAGAGCCAGAAAAGGGAAAAATAGGGGAAAATGCAGCTCTCTTGGGGGGGCACTGCGCACGCCAGCCGGGTGCAGAGGGGCTGCCCCCCAAAACGGCGGCCCCCCGACCCTGCTGGCTCTAGCGAGCGGACAGAGTGAGACGGAGGGAAGAGCTGGGATAGAGGAATCGGGCCGGCAGGTGGACTCGGGGCCGCGGGAGTCACAGGCGCTGCCGGCTCACACCACAGGCTGTGTGTCCCCCTCACTCACTCACAGCGGACCCCTCACGGTTCCCCACCTCGCACCAGAAGCCCTGGGACCCCTGGGACCCCTGGGCGCCCAAGGCTCCTCCACCGATTCCGTCTCATGCATGTCCCATGACCTCCGAGCCCCGCCACAGCGCTCTTCACTTTCCCCTCCTGCCCTCTCTGCTCCCCCTGCCCCCTCTGCTCACCCCCACCCAGCTCCCCCCTGCCCTATCTGCTCCCCCCACCCCCTCTGCTCTCCCTCCTCCCTCTCTGCTCCCCCCTCAGCTCCCCCCACCCTATCTGCTCCCCCGCCCCCTCTGCTCTCCCTCCTCCCTCTCTGCTCTCCCCCTCTGCTCCCCCCAACCCCCCCACTCCCCCCACCCCCTCTGCTCGCAGCCCTGCTCCCACCTACGTGCACTCCTAGCTCTCTCTGCTGCCCCCCACCCCTGGCTCTGCTCCCCCCACCTCTGCTCACAGCCCTGCTCCCACCTACGGGACCCCCCCTAGCTCTCTCTGCTGCCCCCCTGAAACACCCCACCGTCCTTAAAGAACCGGCGGAGGAGAGGCTCTGCCCAGAGACAGACTGGCAGCCGGCCTCCCGGAGCCCAAGACAGGACACCCTTCTGTCCTAATCGTCCTCATTCCTCCCAAGCCCACACCCAAGCTGCTATTCAGCAAGAGGCAGACTGAATCCCGGGAATTTTCTCTTTCCTAACCCTTAGCCGCTCGGAAACGGGAGGAATCAGGTAACCTGATAAGCCAGGAACAACTGAATCTCAGCTTTGTTTGAACAGGGAGACTTGTTGCAAGGACAGGCAAGCCCGTGGGCCGGATGCGCAACGGAGCACAGCGGCCAGCTCCCGCGCTCTGTCCCTGGCACTCTGTCCCTGGCGCACGGCAGGCCAGGGACGCCCGGGAAGCCGCCGTGCCTCTGTGAGCCGGGCCCGAAAGTCAGCCTGCAAGGACTCGGAGGCAAGACCCCGGGCAAGGGCCGGACTGTTCAGCTCGCGGCTTCCCTCGCGTTCAAGGGACACGGCGATCGCCCGGCCCCGGAGCCCCCCCAGTTCCAGCGCCGCTGAGAGCAAACCCAGGAGCCCTCCCCCGCCCGCATCCTAGGCTGGAGCCGTCTTGAGCAAGCAGCTGTTTCATCAGATCTTGCGAATCTTCTGTTTACTTTTTTTTTTTTTCATATTGCTCTTGACTCGGCCTTCTAAATTCCACTCAGGTCAGAACGCGTATCCTCAGGGGCATCTCTTACACACACACCCCCAGTGACCTTGGTTGTGGGAAGGGAGAGATCACTCCTGACCATGTGGCCACTTTTACACACAACTGCCAACTAAAGCCAAGATGCCAGCCAGCCAGCCAAGGGGCGACCCGCGCCATCCCTGCAGGGCCCCAGAGGCTCAGGACCTGGAGCAGCCCCGGGAATGAGCCGACCCTCAGACAAATGCGGTGGCGACCCTCAGACAAATGCGGTGGCGGAGCAAGGCTCCAGCAGGCGCCCGGGACAGGCCTGCTCCCCACCTGGACTCACAACCCGCAGGCAACCCAAGACGTCCAGGAAGAAAGCTTTGGTGCCAACACACCAGAGTGCCGGAGCCTTGTCCCTGCCCGCCCGGCACACCCCTCCCCAGCACCCCCTCTCCCCCCCTGCACCTTCTCCCACCCCCCATCACTCTCTGGGCTGTAGGCGGGCGGCCTCCCGGTCCCAGTCCCCACAGGCAGCCTCCTGGCACCACTGGGCATCACAAGTCAGGAATTCAGCTCAACAAGTGAGCCGTGTGCGCGGCCCTTGCTCTGTGCCAGTGTGGGGGGCAGCGGGAGGGCAGCCGGGGGGGGGGGGGGGGGGCAGCGGGGGCAGGGTGGAAGAAGAGACGCAGGCTGTGGGCAACCTGGGGTGGGGGTGAGCACACCAAGCGGGGTACCCTGGCTGTGCCCAGCGGCTGCACCCTGCAACCCCTGTGAGCATGCTGAGCAGGGGACCCCCGCACCCAGCAGCTGCTCCCCCGTGCCCCCTGTGACCCCACTGAGCAGGGGACTGAGACCATGCCCAGCGGCTGCCCCTGTCACCCTGTGACCTCTGCCAGCAAGTTTAGCAGGGACCCCGGCCGTGCCCAGCAGCTGTCCCTCTGCAACCCCGCGACCCCCAGGACCCAGGCTAGCATGCTGAGCCCAGCGGCTGTCCCCCAGGACCCCCGTACTCCCACCGAGCAGGGGACCCCCGCACGCCCAGCGGCTGTCCCCCGTGACCCCCGTGCCCCCATCGAGCAGGGGACCCCCTTGCGCCCAGCAGCTGCCCCCCGTGCCCCCACCGAGCAGGGGCCCCCCCGCCCCCCCGCGCCCCCGAGCAGGCGCCCCGCGCCGAGCCCCCGCGCTCACCCGCTGCAGCTCCAGCTCGATCTCGCCGGCCTTGAGCACGATGGGCCCCCGCACCGCGTACTCCACCGCCTTCACCTGCGGGTTCATGGACTCGGGCGTCAGGATGCGCTCGCGCCGGCCCCGCGCCGGCCGCACCTGCAGCGCCGAGGCCCCCGCGGCCGCGCTGCTCCGACGCCGACCCCACGGGCCCGGGGCTCCGGGGCCGCAGCGCCGCCCGACCAGGGCCGCCGCCCGCTGCATCGCGTCCGCGGGGAGTCGGGCCGCGAGAGAGGAGCGTCGGTCGCGCACGCCGGGCCCCGCCGCCGCCGCCGCCGCCGCCGCCGCCGCCGCCGCCCGAGTCCGCGCCCCGCTACCGCCGCCGCCAGCCGCCCGCCCCGGGGCCCCGCGCCCGCAGCCGCATTTCAGCGCCGGGCGCCCGCCCCGCCCGGTCCCCTGCGCCTCACGCCCCCCGCTGGCGGGCCCGCCCCCGCGCACGGGCTGCTGGGACTGATAGTTCCGCGGCGGCTGCCGGTGCCCAGGCGGGGCGCGCGCCCGACTACAAGTCCCAGAGGGCCCCGCGCGGGCCCCCCGGGGGGCGGGGCGGGAGGCGGGAGCGCAGTCCGCGCGCGGGCGGGGGCGGGGCCGCGCGGGGGCGGGGCCTCTGCGGGGGGCGGGGCCTCTGCGGGGGGCGGGGCGGGGTCTTTGCAGCGCCCCCGAGCTCCGAGCTCCGAGCTCCGAGCTCCTCGCGGGGTCCCCCCGCCGGGGGCGCAGCGCGTGCGCAAGCCCCGCCCGCACAGCTGCGAGGCCGCGGGACGGGATGGTGCAGTCCTCGCCCCGGGTTTCATCATTCCGGGCCCGCAGGTGCCAGTCGCGCCTGCAGTCCCTGCGCACCTGCACCCCCTGCCGACGCCCCTGCAAGCCGCTGGCATCGTCCTGCTCGCACGCCTGCGGGCCTGCGGTCCCCCTCCCACGCCCGGCCGAAGCTGCAGGAGGTCCTGCTTCCCTCCAAGGCTTCCCGGCACTCAGGTAGGCGCTGCTGCATAGTCGTTGAAGAATGAGCGCTCAGCACAGAGCGACCATTACTCTTGACAAAGGTGTTCCCAGGTAGGCAGGGGCACCTGGGTCCCGCAGAGCGAGCTCCGGGCAAGAGCCAGCGCCAGAAACCAGAGAGTACCCCTGTCTGGGCTTCAGGCTCTCTATCTGCAAAGTACATGGAATGAGGTGACGCCTTAGCTCCCTTCTCGTCTTGGAAATTCTGCATCTAGGTGTTTTTTAGGCAGAAAAGCAGCCCAAACCTCCCTCACCCCAACGAACACACACACTCCACATTAGATTTGTGAAAGTAAGGGGCAGGCGGGCACCTAAAAAACACAGCAGTGTAGGGGAGGAGGTGCTAGAAAATCTGGGTTTGAATGGAGATAAATGTAATCACTCACTCTTGGCTGACTCTGAGCATGTTACTGAGCGTTTGTAAGCTAAGTTTTCCCATCTGTAAAGTGGGGTCACGCACTCATCTCACTGTCTGTGATGATAGTTAGGGGAGGCGACCGTTAAAAAAGCCAAGAGTTTGGAACCTGGTGCTGTGGGTCACTCTTACACATCCTTGTCAAAAGAAGGAACGCCATGCCCTTGGTTTAAATACATTGATTGCCAATAAAGGGGAAGGGGGGATGGAGAGAGCAGCAGAAACGAAAGATGTCTCTGAATATTCCTGTGTTAGGAAACTGGCTTTCCCACAAAGGAAACTTATTCGGGCTCCTCATCAATGGTTCCGCCCCCAGCACCTAGATCTATGCTGCTTCCTTCCTGGCTTCTGTCCCAGTGGACAGGGACGCAGTCCTTAGAGTTTGGCTTCTCTAAGGACCCCGCTGCCTTCAACACCATGTTCTCACCTACTCTACCCAGTCGTGGAGCAACACCCCCACCCTTGCCAAAGGGACATGCACTTCCTGTCGTCTCCACCCACCCGTGATCAGAAGGGGCCGGGGAGCTGGGAGGGTAGATGGGTAGAGAGAGGTGAGCACAAATCCGTTTGCAAAACTGGGAAAAACAATGCCTAGCACGCAGTGCATCCACGTGGGCTCGCACGTCATCATTTAGGAAACAAGTTAATGTCTCAATTATGTCCTTTGCCAATCTGTCGTGGTTGTGTGAGAAGGAAGCTCCCTTTCTTTCCTGTGAACCACACTTTTCGGTTCACGAAGCGCTTTCATACTCATCACCGCATTTGAACCTGATAGACCTCAATGAAGTGAAACAGGCAGGCGTCATCCCCATCTTGCAGACGAAGCTCAAGGGCACCAAGTGACGTGTTCACGGGGCACAGTCAGGTGCAGAGCAGGGACCGATTTCCAAGCCCGTGCTGCAGCCCATACACGCAGGGACCAGGCTCGTGTGGCTTTCGGGGTTTGGGATTTGCACAGGCATTGCAACGCGCTGAGCCCAGGAGGGCTTTGGGGTGGTAGCTACGGAGGTGATGATGGTGGTGACAGCGTGAACTTTGCCCGCATCTTGCCCTCTAGACCCGACTAGGGAGGGGGCAGGAGCCGGCCTCTAAATATCGCAAATAACACCTGATGGAACAGTCACGACAGTCCCGCCTGTGCGCTGGACGAGAGCTGCAGGAGCACAGAAGCCCTTGCTGCCCCACACGGCGGGGAGTCACCTGCTTGCAGGATGCGGTGCCCAGCGTCGTTCCTTAGCGACTTTTGACAGAGCACCTCCTGCATGTCCGGGGCCGGCGTGGGCTCTGGGCCGCAGGGTCCCCGCCTCCACACAAGTGCTCGGGCAAGGCAGACCCCCCTAGATAAGCCCACGCGAGCTGCCCGGTGGGAGGATGGAGTTGCATGACGGCCCAGCCGTCTGAGGGAAGGTTTCCCAGCGAAGGCAGCCCAGGAACTGCCGGGAGGCGACGAGCAGGGTGAGGGGCGCAGCCCCAGTGGGCAGGGGGCCATGCAAACAGGGAGCCAGGAGAACTCGCCCTCAGCCTCGCCCTCCCAGCGGCCCTGCCCTGGGTGCCCTCACCCCGCAGGCCCGGTCGGGGGCTCGCACAGGCCTTGGGCAGGAGGGGACGCCTCGTAGGGGGCTTGGTGTTGGGGACGGGGCCCCCCAGGTGCAGGCCAGGTGCTGGGGTGACAGCGGGGCAGGCCTCGGGCAAGAGGGGCCGAGCTGGGAGGCCAGAGTCGGGGGGGTGAGCGGTTAGGACTGGCGGCCTCCACCCGAGTGTGCAATTCTGGGTTGTGCCCACAGAGCAACCAGGAGTCTCCGGCAGCTTCGGGGACGGGCCACGGCGTGGTACTGGTGCTTACAGTCCTGCTGCGGAGGGTGGACTGGGGCAGGGAGCTGGGGGCGCGTGGGGGGCCGTGGTGCTGCCGGCCTGGGCTCTCCTGCACCCCGGAACCTAGTGAGCACCGTGCCTCGCTCACCTGTCCCGCAGCCTGGGTGGAGCGAGTCAGGTGGACTCCAGAAGGCCCAAGCTCCCGCGGCGGGTGCGGGGCAGCAGGAGGGGGTGTGGCCCGGGCAGCCCCCGGGGATGCAGAGGGTGCAGAGGGTGCAGCGCGGCCGTGGCGTCAGCGGGTGGGAACCCGACGGGAGACGCTGTCCCACAAAGAGCGGCGGGCTTGGGGGTCATGGAAGGGGCGCGAGGTCCTCCGGGAGGTCACGGGGTGCCGGAGCTGGGGGCTGGGGGACCTGAGGGAACCCTCGCTCCTGGTGGGGCTCAGGGCCCTCGACCATCAGCTGCCTCGGCCCGGGCAGTGGTTCTGCGCAGCAGCCCCCGCGTGTTTGCCTAAAACACGGATGCCAGAGTCCAACACGCGGGCTCCGGGGCTCTAGAGCTGGGCTTGCCCAGGGACTTCCTATCATCAGGGTTTTTCTTTTAAGTTTTGGTTCTTAAGAGAGAGCGTGAGCAGGGCGAGGGGCAGAGGGAGCGAGACCCTTCATCAGTGCCCACGCCCAGCCCAGGGTCTGATGTGGGCTCCAGCTGACGCCTGAGGTCGTGCCCTGGGCTGAGGCCAAGAGTCCGCAGGCACCTGATCACCGCCCGGCGCTCGTCCCACAGCCGGGTCTCGAGGTGCAGTGAAGTGGAGGACCACAGGGACCTCCGCAGCACCCGAGTGGGAGGAGCACAGGTGGGAGTTCCGGACTCTGCTTCTAGGGTTGTCACTAATGTGTCCCACGACCTTGAGCCAGGGCCACCCTCACCTCGGCCTCCTCATCTGCACAACTGCCTGCACGTCCCCCTGATTTCCGAGCCCCCGGCTCCAGCTTGAAGGCCTTCAGTCTCCTCTTCCAGCCACCTGGCTCCCTCGCGGGCACGGTTGCAACCTCTGCTCGCTGTGCCTCGGTTTCCTTACCTGTCAGTGTGGTGACGACAGTGCCTCCCTCAAAGGGCTGCTCAGACAGAGAGAAAGAAATAATATATAATTATAAATACAAATATTCATATATGATACATATTATAAATATTATCTATAATATAAATATAATAAATATAAATTATAATAGAATTATATATGACAGTACTTTTATTTATATTTATTTTTTGACATATAACAGTATTTTTAAAACAAGATCTAGGGATCTCTGGGTGGCGCAGCAGTTTAGCGCCTGCCTTTGGCCCAGGGCGCGATCCTGGAGACCTAGGATCGAATCCCACGTCAGGCTCCCGGTGCATGGAGCCTGCTTCTCCCTCTGCCTATGTCTCTGCCTCTCTCTCTCTCTCTCTCTGTGTGACTATAATAAATAAATAATTAAATAATTAAATTAATAAATAAATAAATAAAAACAAGGTCTGGCCGGTGTTATTAAAGAAAAATTTTGCGGGATTGACTTCCACCGGTCTGTTTTGGCATGCTTCTGATAATATTGGAATCCTCTGGATCAATGACAGCCGGAGCGCATACTCTGACGCGTTTCCCACATGTTGGGCCCAGTTCAGTATTTATTGCCACCGTAGCGACGGACACCAGTTTTGGGCAACATGGCGCAGTATTCCCGTCCAGATTTCCTCAGGGTTGGGCAGTTGTTGGCGAGCCGGCCAAGTGCCCCTAAATTGATATTTTTACTTTTTTTAAAAGATTTTATTTATTTATTCATGATAGAGAGGCAGAGACACAGGCAGAGGGAGAAGCAGGCTCCATGCAGGGAGCCCGACGCGGGACTCGATCCCGGGACCCCGGGCTCACAACTTGAGCCGAAGGCAGATGCTCAACCGCTGAGCCCCTTAGGGATCCCTAAATTGATATTTTTAAAGTTTCTTTTCCTTTGGATATTAGGGTAGATTAGAAAGTCTGAAAGACCAAACACTCCGTTGCTAATGGTGGTTATCTTCGCGTGGTGGGC